ATTTATTTATTTATTTATTTATTTATTTATTTATTTATTTATTTATTTATTTATTTATTTATTTATTTATTTATTTATTTATTTATTTATTTATTTATTTATTTATTTATTTATTTATTTATTTATTTATTTATTTATTTATTTATTTATTTATTTATTTATTTATTTATTTATTTATTTATTTATTTATTTATTTATTTATTTATTTATTTATTTATTTATTTATTTATTTATTTATTTATTTATTTATTTATTTATTATTTATTTATTTATTTATTTATTTATTTATTTATTTATTTATTTATTTATTTATTTATTTATTTATTTATTTATTTATTTATTTATTTATTTATTTATTTATTTATTTATTTATTTATTTATTTATTTATTTATTTATTTATTTATTTATTTATTTATTTATTTATTTATTTATTTATTTATTTATTTATTTATTTATTTATTTATTTATTTATTTATTTATTTATTTATTTATTTATTTATTTATTTATTTATTTATTTATTTATTTATTTATTTATTTATTTATTTATTTATTTATTTATTTATTTATTTATTTATTTATTTATTTATTTATTTATTTATTTATTTATTTATTTATTTATTTATTTATTTATTTATTTATTTATTTATTTATTTATTTATTTATTTATTTATTTATTTATTTATTTATTTATTTATTTATTTATTTATTTATTTATTTATTTATTTATTTATTTATTTATTTATTTATTTATTTATTTATTTATTTATTTATTTATTTATTTATTTATTTATTTATTTATTTATTTATTTATAGTGAGTAGCTACAATTCCAATACCGCGTATGTACTTATAAGCGAATGATTCTATCAAAATTCTCCAAAATACTGTGACACTGGTTTTTGGTATCACAATTTATTTCAGTTCAACTTTACAATAACTCAATAATTCAACTTTAACAATAACGATAAAACTGATAATATTAACATCTAACGTCTATCATAAAACTGCCAACTGGCGTCAGGTCGTCGACTTATATAGCTTGCCTCGACCTTCTAGAACCTTCTCGAACAATCCGGACTTTTCTTTGACAAGGAATGACATTTCGAGACATTTCTGGATTATTCTATCTTCTTTATTTACTCGTACCTTTACTTATGACAACCGTTGCTGCGTAACATTGCTCCCTCCTCTTTAGTTATTCGCCCCGAATAACTTGATTACTGGGACCTGGCTGGAGCCAATGGGGAGGATCTGGACCATGGTATGGGGCTATCTTTCCACTGTGAACTACGATGGATTCACCTCCCGCTGACAGTTGAATGCGGTAGATCAGGTCGTTGATTTTCCTTAAAGACAGAGTAGGGGCCTCGCCAGTTCCGTTGCGATTTCTGACAAAGTCCTCTTAGCTGCTTGGGATTGCACCGCCATACCTTGTCGCCCCTCTCAAAATGTGTATCTGTGGCACGTCTGTCGATTCTAGCTTCTGCTTTATCGGTGTGGGCGTTCAGTCGTTCCCGGGCGAATCCATAGATCTTTGTCCTGCCATTGCATACATCACATCTTTTACACCATTCCGCTACATCCGGTCGGCAATTGACCCAATAAAATCTTTCTCAAACTCATGCCAGTGTTCTTTTAGTATCAAAGTGTCCTCCTAAACGGCTGCTATGAAGCTCCTCCAATACATTTCTCACCTGCGACCTCGGCAGTATCACTTGGCGGACTACATGTACTCCATCGGGGCTCTCCCACTTCCGGTGCAATAGGCCATCGTAAAGCCCTAAGGAAGAAGAGGAAGAAAAGGAGAGGCGTAGGAAGGAAGAAGAGGAGGAAAAGGAAAGGCTTAGGAAGGAAGAAGAGGAGGAAAAGGAAAGGCGTAGGAAGGAAGAAGAAGAGAAGAGGGAAAGACGAGAAGAGGAGAAGGAAGAGAGACATACAAAAGCTTAGGTAGAAATTATGAATGCTTTGCTAAAAATCCAGGAAACCTTGAAGCAAGAGATTGGTCAGCTCAAAATTAGAGTAGATCTTTTAGAACAACAACAAGGGCATTTAAAAACTAATTTAGAACAACAACAACGGGATAATTTAAAACAACATGAAAAGGCTAGAGTATAGTTCGAAAGGCAAATTAGAACTGAACTAGTTGAGTTAGAAAGAAGAATTCGTAGCCTAGCTTCGATAAGCAACAGAGAAGCTAAAAACACTACCTCGTCCTCATCTGTAATCGAACCAAGCCATATTCAACACCCAGTTTCACAAATCCATACTAGCAAGATCATTAAGCCACCCACGTTTGACGGTCAGAAAACATGGGTAACGTATCGCCTCCAATTTAAAGCTGCAGCTAGAGCCAATGACTGGGCTGAAAAGGAGAAGGCGGCTGCATTGATAGTGTCGCTGCGAGGACAAGCAGCAACCGTTTTACAGTTACTCCCTCAAGAAGAACCCAGTTATTCATCTATCGTCCAAGCTTTAGAGACAAGATATGGCCAGCAGGATTTGAAACGGGTATTTCAAAGCCAGCTGAAGATTCGTAGTCAGAAACATAGAGTCTACAGGAATTTGGGGCTTACATAAGAAGATTGACTCATCTGGCCTATCCAGAGGCGCCCAAAGATTTCCAAGAACAAATCAGAATAGAGGCAGTATCACTTGGCGGACTACATGCACCCCATCAGGGCTCTCCCACTTCCAGTGCAATAGGCTATCGTGAAGATACAGGAAATCCCACTGGGTACAGTAATCTTTTATAGTTCTACTGTATTTGACTAGTAGGTGTGACTTTATTTTTGAGCCATTCTCGGACAACCTTTAAGTCATTGTCTTTCTTCTGTCCCTGTCTCAGATTTTCAAGGGTGGATTCTTCTTCGCCGCCCTCTGGCTTGATAGTCGTTGCCCGAAGGGTAACTTTATCAACTGATTCCTCCCGTTCTCCGAGTCCCTCGTTCTAAACAGGGTCGCCTGTAGAGAATGACTGCGCTGCTATACAGATGGCCTCTACGATGCTCTACTTCCTGAATATTGCTAGAAAATCGGCTCGGTGTGGGTGATTGGCTACTTCGGGACGCATAGCTGCTGTGACTATTTCTTGTTGGACTTCGTGACGGGCTTCGGAAGATTGATCTTTGTGACTTTCCGGCCTCATTCCCTGATTCTCTATTTATAGAACGAGCTCTTCTACAGGTTCTTTGAAGGTGCCCGATTCTTCCGCAATTGAAGCATCTTCTGTTCTTATTTTGGCTATTTCGTTGTATATTTTGCAGGATATTTAACATTTTCGAGAGGGTAAGTTGGGGAATAGTATTAGCATTGGGGTCCTCACTTTCCTGGGATTTAATTTCTCTCATTTTTGCGCGAGAAGATCTGGATATGAGTTTTACCGCTTCATATTCCTGGGCTGCAATCAGTTTCTCCTTCAGCGACTTGTGATGTTGTAGACGAAGGACTTGCTGAATTTCCGCATCTTGTAGTCCATCAATGAATGCCTCTATTCCGATTTGTTCTTGGAAATATTTGGGCGCCTGTGGATAGGCCAGATTAATCAATCTTCTTATGTCAGCCCCGAATTCCTATAGACTCTCATTATGTTTCTGACTACGAATCTTTAGCTGGCTTTGAAATACCCGTTTCAAATGCTGCTGGCCATATTTTGTCTCCAAAGCCTGGACGATAGATGAATAACTGGGTTCTTCTTGAGGGAGTAACTGTAAAACGGTTGCTGCTTGTCCTCGCAACGACACTATCAATGCAGCCGCCTTCTCCTTTTCAGCCCAGTCATTGGCTCTAGCTGCAGCTTCAAATTGGAGGCGATACGTTTCCTATGTTGTCTGACCGTCAAACGTGGGTGGTTTAATGATCTTGCTAGTATGGATTTGTGAAACTGGGTGCTGAATATGGCTTGATTCGATTACAGATGAGGACGAGGTAGTGTTTTCAGCTTCTCTGTTGCTTATCGAAGCTAGGCTACGAATTCTTCTTTCTAACTCAACTAGTTCAGTTCTGATTTGCCTTTCGAATTTTACTCTAGCCTTTTCCTGTTGTTTTAACTTATCTCGTTGTTGTTCTAAATTAATTTTTAAATGCTCTTGTTCTAAAAGATCTACTCTAATTTTGAGCTGACCAATTTCTTGCTTAAAGATTTCCTGGATTTTTAGCAAAGCATTCATAATTTCTACCTGAGCTTTTGTATGTCTCTCTTCCTTCTCCTCTTCTCGTCTTTCCTTCTTCTCTTCTTCTTCCTTCCTACGCCTTTCCTTTGCCTCCTCTTCTTTTTTCCTACGCCTTTCCTTTTCCTCTTCTTTCTTTTTACGCCATTCCTTTTCCTCCTCTTTTTCCTTCCTGCGCCTTTCCTTTTCCTCCTCTTCTTCCTTCTTACGCCTTTCCTTTTCCTCGTCTCGCTTTCCTTTTCCTCTTCTCGCCTTACTCTCTCCTCTTCCATCTTCAAAAACCTTGCTGGTGGGCCTGAGGTATACTGTATTAGATGCATACCCAATCCCAAATATTGATTTGGTAGCTGCAATCACCAAATACCAGATATTTATTTCTATAGATTTGAAAAGCGCTTATCAATAGATCCCTATTCAAATGCCACAAACCATTCACAGCTTTTGACTTTACCAATTTCGCCGTATCCCTTTTGGGGTGGTAGTAGTATGTTTTCAAAGAACCATTGTTAAATAATAGTAGATAAAACTTTACATATTCACATATTTGGATGATGTAACAGTGTGTGGAGTAAAGCAGTTAATGCATGATAAAAATCTTAATAAATGTATGTCAGTAATAAACAAATATCAGTTAACAATTAACGAGAAGAAATCTGAATGCTCCCAGAAGTCTATAAATCTTCTAAAAATCTTATTGAAAATAATACCCTTCGAATGTTCGCTCACTACTCCAGATGGATTCTCCAATATAAAATATTAAAGGCTTTAATAAAGCCTCTATCCTACTTTCTCATCTAGAATCACTTAATAGTTTTAAAGTCAAACCCTGGACATGTTTTAAAAGACTTGCCCAGCGAAAAGTAGTTGCTGAAAAAAATATATATTTTCTGAATCATATTAAAGAAATTAGCGCCTACCAAAGATGCTTTTACTATATCGTTAACTACTAGATTGAGAGTGACTACTACATGGAACATAAACAGGTCGCGGATTTAGGTTCTTAATCCTAGATTGCACTCCTGATTTATCGCCCCGAATATTAGATCCTTGCCCTCTTATATCCTGTAAATTTAAACCCTAATTACTAAGTTCTGCAATTATAATTTCAAATATTTGCTTCCCTGTAGACTTTTCAACTGGAAAAAACCTAAAAAGCTTTTATTAATTTTAATTTCAACCTCATCCTGATTGGAATCAGTTTTATTGATTGAAACATACCTGATTATAAGAGTCATTTGCTCCACCTTAGAAATATCAGGAGTGCAATATAAAATTATCGAATAATAAGGGTGTCCCAATAAGAACTTGAATTTTTAATGGCCAAAAAAACACAGTAATTAAAAAAAAATATGCAAATATTTTATTGGATTTTCAAGAGAAAATGTTGACATTAAACATGAAACAAAATATCTGCCAAATGGCCACCGCGGCTCCTTTGACAGGCGTATATTCGTTTGATGAAATTTAGGAAGACGTTTTCGAGCAAAATCGGCTGGATTTCACGACTATTACGTTCAATTTCTTCCTTCAGTTGTCAAATCGTCTCAGGAAGGTTTCCATACACTCTACTTTTTAAATACCCCCCCGAGGAAATAGTCTAAGGGCGTCAAATCGCAACTTCTCGGTGGCCAGTATTGGTCTCCAAATCGAGAAATGATACGACCTGGGAACTTTGTTAGCAGTAACGCCATTGTTTCGCGTGCGATGTAGCAGATCGCGCCGTCCTGTTGAAACCATAAGTTATTTATGTCCATTCCATTTACTTCCAGCCAAAGAAAGTCTTTTAGCATGCTACGGTAGCGATCACCATTTACAGTCACGGAGACACCTTCATTATTTTGAAAAAAAAAAAATAAGGTCCGATGATCCATCCTTTTCAAATGACGTTGGAAGCTCGCGCATAGCATGTGGATACTCTTCCCCACAAATCCGCCAGTTCTGTTTATTCACAAAGCCGTTCAAATGGAAGTGCGCCTCATCACTAAATATAATTTTGTTGTGGAATGCATCGTCAAGTCCGTTTTTTAAATTCGCAATTCGATTTTTGCGTCCCTCGGACATTCTGGAAGATACACAAAATATCTGACATAAAACAAAGTAAACTATAAGGAAATTGTCTTACAACAGACTTAGTTAAATTAGACAAGTACTGCACTTTTTATGTTCATTTAAGATCTAGAGGAACGATTAAGCAGTTTTATATGTTTTTTATATTTATAAATTATGTAATAGTAAAAAAATAGTAACGAACCTACTACACCTGATACCTTTTAAATTTGAAAATTTATAAGCACTTGAATTTTACACAATTTTGCCTAAAAATAGTATAAAATAGGGCAATTTTTCTTGTCCAATTTAGTCAGATCATGCATAGATTTATTCTAGAGTGCTCAATGTTTAACTAAATATTTTATTTTTCTTTTTATAAAAATTTAAACTATTTATTTATAAAACTAGGTAAAAATATGCGTAGCTTTACTTAAAAGGGATCGCATTCCGTAGTTGATAATAAAAAAAAAGAAATCAGGGTCTAGTGGTTAGGAAAAGGCAGGAATTATTAAAAAAAAATCAAACTTTAGGGTATATCGTATATTTCATAACCTTTTTTAAGGTATTTGAAAAAGCTCCTTCTCAGATGAAAATTAAATTTCAAAGCCGATTTATCAAAACAAGACTTTTAACCTTTTAATTAATTTATGTTTTATTCAAAAATCGTTTTTTTTTTAAATTTTTGCCTTTTACTGATCAAAATACTCTAATTTCGTATATTCCCTAAGTTAACGATTAACTTACCTTAAAAAATTACAAATTACACTGATTATTGAACCACAACAGCAGTGGCGTGCGGTGACATTTTTGGAAGGGAAAGCGATTGTATAAAAATACAGCAGGCCAGTAAGCACAGCGCCGAGGGTAAAAATTTTTCGCGGCGCATGCACCATTTTGTCAAAATCTTCCTTTTTTTCCTCAGTACTACGGATATTCGAGATTGAGATTTTTGAAGTGTTACTATTACTTTATTAACCTAGTTTAGTACTAGAAGCTATAAAAAACTTACCATTAAAAAGCTTACTTGGTTTATTTAAACGTAAAAAAACATTTAACTGAAGTTTTTTTTATTTTTTCCATCATTTTTCGCACAGTTGACACAGCAGTTGACACAGCAGTTGACATAGCAGTTGACATTTATTTATACTTAAGATCTATTCGCCTATCCTCAATGGTTGCAAATTTGTTTAAACATCGTCGTAAAATTTTGGATTTTCTGATAACTGTTTAACAAGCTGTTTTTCAATGGATATTAGGGCTAAATTAGAGAGTCTGTCTTCACTT